TCAGCTGGTGTGTTTCCTGTTTTCTGGATTGGCTGGATGTCTGCTTCTTAGTGTCAGGCAGAAAAGAGGCTCTGGCCAACTTACTTTGCTTGACCAAAAGGAGGAAAAATCTGCCTTGCAGCAATCGTTCTTCCCAGGGCACTTTTTAGACCCTGGGAAAGGAAAGAGTTATTCTAACAGAATCAATCCTTGTTGTTTTCAGTGTGCTGTCCAGCTATCTGGAAATATGCCCAATCTCCATTTAATTGGGAATGTAATCTAGTCAACCCCTGGGAGCTCTTTTTGCATAATTTTTAAAAACTATTTTGCTGTTTGTTTTTTGAGGGGTGGGGGAATAGATTTGAATCCCACCAGAGTCTTGCAATATAGTCCCTGCCTTCATTTCTGAAAGATTTCTTTCTCTTCAATTCCAGTTGTATTTCATTATTGATTTATTGATTAGATTTATACCCTGCTGTTATTTGTACATAATGCTCCCACTTCTTATTTTCTTTGTAACGAGAGCCTTATGATGTAGGTTGGGCTGAGAGAGAGTAACTTGCTCACTCAGCCAGTTTTAATGGAGGACTAGAAGTCTCTAGGTCACCATCTTATCTCACCAGGCTGGCTCTGAGGATGGCCACTTATAGTCACCCCAAAAGAATAAGTTAGCAAATTCTCAGAGATCCCATTATTAACCCCAACCATGAAAGAGTTTTGGGAAGCTGCTTTGTTTTAAGTCATCCATGTGCAGTAGTGTGAAATAGCAATATGTAACTAAGCTGAGATGTGGAGTCAAAAGTTTGATTAGTTTAGACCAGTGGTTCCCAAACTTTTTCAGTCCAGCATCCCCTTGGTGCCACAAACTCATTCTCAATGCCCCCCACCCAGGGGCAGGATTCAAATGTCTGTGGGTGTGGCCTAATTTGAGGGTGTGGTTTGCTGATAACGTGATTGGGTGGGTGTGGCTTGCTGGTCACATGACTGGGTAGGCGTGGCTTGCTGGTCACATGACTGGTGGCATGGCTTGCTGGTCACGTGACTGGCTGAGCATGGTTTGGTGACTGGCAAACCAAATACAAATGGTCCTCACTTAATGGCCGGTTGCTTAGGAAGTGTTCTAATTTATGACTGGCCTCCCCAGAACTACTTGACCTGTTTTTGGAGTTTTGACAGCCATGCACACAGATATATACATACTCCCTTCCAACCAGGGGTGGGATTCTATCAGTTTGCACCTATTCGCTAGAACTGATTGTTAACATTCTAAGCAGTTCGGAGAATTGGTTGTTAGAAGAAATTACTGGCGTAATCCTGTAAGGAAGGCAAGAAGGAAACATTCTGGTGTTGCTTACAGAAACTGCCTCTCTGTTAACCCTTATTACATTCTTGGCAGGACTAGACTCCTGTCTCAGAAACTTCTCTGGTGTTTTTTTCCCCCTCCTTTGTTGGTACTTTGCTTGTGTGGAGTGACCATTCAAAGTTACAACTGCACTGAAAAAAGTGACTTATGACCATTTTTCACACTTATGACTGTTGCAGCATCCCCACAGTCATGAGAGGCCAGGCGAGGAGATGCATGCCTCGATGTGAATGATATTGAGTTGGCCACACCCAGCCAATAAAATGACCACCAAGCCACATCCACCAGTCACATGACCACCAAGCCATGCCCACCAACTAAGCCACGCCCACAGAACTGGTTGTTAAAAAAATTGAATCCCACCCCTGCTTCCAACCCTGCTGGAGCAGGTCATTGGACTACAATCAGCAAAGCATCTCTGATTAGATTCTAGTAGTGAATAAAATCTAATCAGAGATGCTTTGCTGATTCTTGTTGATTTATTTTATTTGTATTTCTTTATTTTATGTTGCTGAATTACACTGACATGTGTGTCCCTTCTTGTATACAACCCAGAAGCTTTTGTGATTCTTTGCAGCAAAAATTACCGACCTCTGGCTTTGCTCTACTTTTCAAACGTGCCAGCACTGCTGTGTTCTAGGTGCTGCTCCCGCAGGTCCACCCCATTGAGCCCGTTGCACTGGAGGGACCTGCCCAGGCAAGTCCAAGTGGAGCGGTGCACCAAATCAATGGGGTGAGCCTGGGAGAGGGAAAGAGAGAGAGAAAAGAGAGAAAGAGGGAAGGAAGAAAAGAAAGAGAAAAGGGAAAGAAAGAAAAAGGGATAAAGAAAGGGGGGCATGGAGGGGAGAGAGGGAGAGAGGGAGACCTGATGCATCAGATTGAAATGAGGCCTAGTTTAGAGGCCCTTTTCCACATTGAAACATCTTTGCCAGCACATTGAAACATCTTTGCCAGCACATTGAAACATCTTTGGCTTCTATTAATTAAAGGTTTTGTGGATGAAACATGGTCAAGACTTTCAGGAAGTTCTCACATTTTAGTTGAGGCTTTAAACAGGATCCATTGGACCAGATCTCCACCCTAAAAAATTACTTTTCCCCAATGTATTACAGTGCCAATTCTGAAGAAGGCAAAACCAAAATGTACTGGTAAATTACAAGGAGAACATACATACACACACACACACTCACTCCCTTCTAATCCTGCTGGAGCAGGTGATTGGACTAAAATAGACATCTCATTATCTTTCCCCTCCCTCCCCTTTTCTTTATTTCTTTTTCTTTCTGTCCCTTTTCTTTCTCTTCTTCCTTCTCTCTTTCTCTCTCCCTCTTTCTCTCTCTCAGGCTCACCCCATTGACTTCATGCACAGCTCCGTTCGGACATGCTTAGGCGGGTGCCTCTGGTGCAAGGGGCTCAATAGGGTGGAACATGGTGGCGGTGGGATGTTTGAAAAGGAGAACAAAGCCATTCTGGCTTTGCTCTTCTATTCCCAATGCTACGTTTGGGGCGACGCCCCACCGCCCCAAACACGGCGGCAGCGGGATGTCCTTTCCCAATGTTGCATTCAGGGCAACGCCCCCACCACCCCAAACACAGTGGTGGGATGTTTGAAAAGGAGAGCAAAGCCACTCTGGCTTTGCTCTCCTTTCCCAACACTGTGTTCAGGGGGCGGAGCTCCTTGCACCAGAACATGCAAGTCAATGAGATGATTCTGCGGGGCGGCGGAGGGATTTTTTTTCTCACCCCTGAATTGTGCCCTGCCGCTCACCTCCAGCACCCCCCTGCCGCCTCTTAGCTCCCCCCGGCCAGCCCCCTTGCCTCTCAGTGCCCCCCTAAGGCATCCCACCGCCCCCCAGGGGGCAGTACTGCCCATTTTGGGAACCACTGGTTTAGACAGCACACTAAGGTAAATAACTTTTGCTGATAATTTATTGAATTGTCAATAGTAAGTTGGATTTACATAACATCCTCACCTAAGACCAAATAAACCTCTGCATGGCTTAGGATATTGCATAAATACATGAATAGGGATAGAAGTACACTTGGTGATGTGAAACAACAAAGTAGAGAGGTGGACAATCAATCTGTGGGGTTGCCTCTTCCCCTTTTCCTTTACAAACTCCAGTGAAATGCACATGAGCCTCACAAGAGCTCCATGTCAGCTGGGTCTGAGGACAACTTCCTAGTAATGTGTGTTGTGCTATTGTGCAAAAGGCAATTTTATATTTCTTCCCTCGTGCATGAGATGAAGGAAGTGAAGCATGAGTTTTTTTGTGGAAGTGGTAGACTTCAGTTAGGGTGGTAAGGCTAGCCCCCCTCCTCCGTAATTTCAGTTCAGACTTCCAATTTCGATTCAGAATTCTATTGGAATTGTTTTCCTTCATCTGTTTCTTTCAGGAAGGGGAAAGCAGAGAGGCCTTTTATTTTGTTTTTCATTAATCAGCATTTCCTTTAGTGTCCTATGCTCCATTCTGTTCCCCCTCCCATGATTTATGGTAAGGCAAGGGCAGCAGGTAGCCAAACCTTCCGACCTCCAACTCATTTGTCTGGAGGGGCTGGGCTACCTGTCACCTCCTGTCAAGAGAGAGCGATAAATGGTCTCTTGTGGTAATTAAGTGGGGGTGGGGATGGAGGAGAGAATAGGGGCGAGGCATGGTGTTGATAGCAGGACTGATTGGCAAGAAAGCCAAAGAAGAAATTATACTCAGTGGTATGTAGAAAATTATATGCAGTGGAATGTAGAAACGAAATATGATTTGGTAGCAGGAGTTGAGCATTGATTTGAATTTTCCCTCAAATTCTGGTGGATCCTCCTCCCTGACTTTAATCCCAATTACTTGACTGAGGTCAGAAAGTCGCAGAGTGTGTCTCCTCTTCTCCCAATAGTTCTATGTGATAGTTGTGCTCCAGTAGGTAGGATAGCTTCAGTAGGTATGTTTGCCAGCAGCATTAAATTAAGAATCATAATAGGTAAGGTGGAGTTTGTTCAACTTAAACTTTTGTTAACTTTTCTCTTTGCTAAATAATTTAGTTATGGCTGTAAAAAGATTAAGCCACATTCTTTTATAGTCTCTTCAATTCCTTTTATATATATTTTTGCAATACCTATTAAAGAATGATCTTTATTCTGTGTGGATTAAATATAATAAAAGCACTTAGGGTGTAAACAATACAAGAAGGGCCAAAGTTTAGCAAACTGGCAAAAAAAGAATACTGGAATGTAAGTCCTTGTCAGGATGATGAAATATTTTTTTTTATTTTATTTTGTACAACAGCAAAAAATAAACTCTCTTTCACTTCCTTAAATTGTTCAACAGGAATAACTTGGAATATATTGGCCATAGACATCTTATCTATTGGGGTATACCTTTTGTAAATAAAAATAAATGAAATATTTATTTATATGTATATGCCAAATAAATCTATATAGATTACAAGATAAAATGTTAATCAAGGTCTTATATAAACAGAAATGTTTTCCAACATTGTAAGAATTATGTCTTTTTATGTATATATATTATTTGGACTAAAAGTTCTGGCTATATCCTTTTTTGAAAAAAATCACTTCTTTATGACCACTAATCATTTGAATACAGTCTGAGTTTGTAATGCAGACCCTTGCATCTTTTTGCTTACTGTTTCCTTTCTCCTTCTACAGCTCTGTCCCCACTTTGCACCGAGGACCTTGCAGCTTCTCCTCCATGCTTCTTTTAGAAGATCTGTTCCCAAAGATTTCTGAAATATTTTTGAAAACCTGAGGATCCACTCAGCTTGCCTGCAGAATTTTCTGAACATATTTCTTCTGCTTAACTTTGGCCTGAAATTACACTGATTTTGTATCAAGTTTTGATGGTTCTGGACTGGTCCTCTATATTAAGTGCTCTGCATTCAGCCCTTATGTGAATCTTTTTTTATCAAGGGTCAGGCCTGTGGATTGTGCCAGCTATGGCAAGCAACAGTAGCTCCTGTTCTACACCAGGGAGTGGACATCTCAACAGCTACCCAGTTCCTCACTATTTCTTCTTTCCCCACATGATTGGAGGCCTCTCACCTCCAGGAACTCTGCCTGGAATGCAACACCAGCTGCCAGTCAGTGGGTACAGTACACCTTCACCAGCTAGTAAGTAACCAAATTCAGGAGCCATGTGGTTAGTAGGGGCGAAGGTGGGATGATGCACACTTAGGATGAAGAGGCTCTTCCTGTGTTAGAGCAGATTTGAAAACACCATCACAATTTTGGTACAAGCACATCTTTTTGTGTTGAATAAAGCAAAAATGATCTTTGAGCAATGTATTTCATAAGTGCTCTGTTCTGTTACAATTCAGGTGACAACTTGTGGAGAGAATTATAAGCTATACAAGCTATTTTTGGTTTCCCTACACTTTTGAGATCCTGAGTTGTATTGTCTTCCTCATCTAGCAACTCCAAAATGGGTCTAGCAGTGTTGTCTCTGCTAGTGAGCATGTTTTTTTTTTAAGCTTAACATACTTCCTGAATGCTACAATTGAAATGCTGGCTTCTTTTTTAATTTTAAACTTTTGGTGTATGTTTAATTAAATTCTGTAATATTCTAGGATACTGTTTCACCATTTCCTAATTAAATAAAAATAGAATTGGCCATTTATTTATTAAATCAGTGGTTAGGTGACTTGATACATGTCTTTTAAAGCTTTTTTAAAAATCAAATGTAGGAATTTCTTCAGCTTCAAAATGCATTTGGAACTCTATAGTTTTTATAAATTGGATACTTCGTATTGACATTCAAATTTTCTCACAGATATACAGTAATTGGTATACATTATAGAAACAGCACTATTGCTAAATATCTTAGTTTTCTTATCCCACTTCCATCCTGAATACATATCTATTATTATTTTTATCTGACTTTTTTTACAGTGATCTTAAAAAATGATGTGAACTCATAACAACTCTGTGGGTCAAGTTAGGCTAAGAATTGCTGAATTCATATCTGAAAAACAAAGTTAATTTTGAATGTTATGTCAAAACCAATTCATGTTCATCTCTATATGCAGCCACGCTAAAGTGTGATTGCCCTATTTGTTACAGAAGAGAATAAACTATAGTTGGCAGTCTTGGTGATTTCATTTTGAACCTTACTCTGTCATTCTCTTCTTGAGCAATTTTGGGCAAATTCTTGTTTCTCATGCTTGGTTCCTCTTTAGAACAAGGAATGACGTAGCTTTTGGGAAAGCGGTTAGGACAAATGAAAGATTGCACTTGTGTTTACAATTTAAAAGCTCAAGGGGTCAAAAATATAGTACAAATTTGAGTTTGAGAAGTTTAGAAATAAGAATTTTCACAGACAGATCTGGAGTTAGCTATTTTGGATAAATTAATTTCAGTTTTAGTGTGTGGGTATGAGAAGACATGTTGGTGAAGAAGATTTTCACAGTGGTTTTGTACAGCCTTGACCAGGGGTAGGGAAACTTGGCTCTTTTATCACTTATGGACTTCAACTTCCAGAATTCCTGAGTGAGCCATAAAAGGTTCCAATCCCTGGCCTACTGGTTTTTCAGTTGTGGGGGAAATCAATTTTTGACTTGAATGGGATTGTTTAATATATAAATGTAGGACATCCTACATATGTATATTAAACAGTCCCATTCAACTCAAAAATTGATTTCCCCCACAACTGAAAAACCAGTAGGCCAGGGATGAGGAACCTTTTATGGCTCACTCAGGAATTCTGGAAGTTGAAGTCCATAAGTGATAAAAGAGCCAAGTTTCCCTACCCCTAGCAGGTAGGGAATTATAGTTATTTAGGTGCATTTTTAGTTCTGCTCTGAAAAACACTCCAAAAGAGTATCTGAATGTTATAGGGGTAAAAATGTGCATCAGGACTGATTCTATTCATGGAAAACAGAAAATGTTAGTTCTCCAGATCAATCTTCCCACTATCACTTGAATTAAAAATATCCAATTCCTGAGTTATATTCTGCAGGAATCCTCTTCAGAAGTTTTGAAATATCCCAAATAAAAGGGTACATTGCTTGAAGATATATTTATGCCCATCATGACACCAGTGTTTTGCACATTTAGTGCAACACTTCTCCCTATGAGAATAGGTTCCGAAATGATAATTGTATAGTACAGTGTAGCATGATATGGTACAACATATGTGAGAAAAGCAGCTTTGGCAATAGTCGTAAAAGCAACCAGTCCAATTCAAAATGTGGTTGCCACTTTAAAGCCCTACATTGCAGATTCAGATTATTTGCTGAGTCACCTATCCACAATGATTGTACATTGTTTGGATTCCTTTGGTAAAGGGATGTCACCTAGTAAATACTGGAAATATATCTTCTTGTCATGGTGCCTGTCTTATGAAACAGGTTTCCTCCCAAGATGTGAATGGCCCAAACCATACTGGTCTTCAGAAAGGCAATGAAAAAGCCTATATCTTTTTCCACAGGCACTGGACCCAGGATATTAATGAAGCTCTGGCATAGTTATGTGTTATCTGTTGGTAATGAGATTTTTATTGGAAACTTGACTTTTTAAACCTTCTTTCTTTCACCTGGTTTTGCATTATGTAAGTCTTTATTTTGTTTACTGTCCAGAACATACCTAACTCTTACTGTGAAAAATAGAATTGATGTCAAAATGTTACCAGATTATATTTATAGGAGTCTCAGCAATGTGGTTAAGTCATGAAATTATCCTGGTTATAATTTTAGTCCTGCTCCTAATGTTTTATTTGTTGTAGAAGAAGACCACAATAAACTGCAGAGTGTATCAAGCTGGGTAGAATGGAAAAGTATTGGTGTACTGTCCTATTCCATCTATAAATGGTGTCTTTCCATGTCAGTTGAAAATCTCTGTATAAAAAATTCACTTACCGTTTAATATTAATTCAATTCCCACCCACCTACGCACAAAACACCTAAAATATGTGGCCAATCTTGAAAACCTAATGGAATTGTTTGGCACTTGGATGGAAGATATCAAGAAACCAGGGGTATGGACTAGTTGGGGGTGGGGAGGAAACAGTCCTGAGGAAATTAATGACAAACCATTTCCTTATGTTACCTATATAGTCACATCCAGTTGAGCTTAATTTGAGGGTTTCTTTACCTTTCTCAACAGCTGGCAACACTTAGCAGATCTTGAAAAATAAGCAGGAGTCCCTCAGGTTGGGGGTCTACCTGGAATTCCAGATTGGCTGGCTAGACTTGGAAGAAAAACAAATACTGGGAAAGGGAATAGCAAACTGAACCAATAATGCTGCAAGACAATGTGCATAATGCATTCAGTTGATTTATTTGTGTCATATTAATGATACCATATATATCCTTGTGTTAGGACCCCCGCCCAACCAGATATTTGGATGTTATACTTGTTGAAACACAAATATAAATATTTTTTATAGAATAGAATTCTTTATTGGTAAAGTGTGTGATTGGACACGCAAGAAATTTGTCTTGGTGCATATACTCACAGTGTACATAAAAGAAAAGATACATTTATCAAGAGTCAATAATCATCAGGTACAACACTTAATAATAATCATAGGGTACAATAAGCAATCAAATCATATATAGTTCTGTCATGGTGACCTATGGTCTACTAACCAGGAGACAATCTTTTGCAGAATGCAGTTTTGCTTCTTAGTAAACCACTTGCATTGAGGATGACTTGTTGCAGCTATTGAAGCCCTATGCTTCTTACAAGATCTCTGGTTTTGCCATAAGCTGCATCTCTTAATATATCTGGTGATGCCGCTGAGTAAAGTATAGGAACATCATTGTGTGACAAAAATGGAATTACACATAAGAGCTGAACAAGTGTTGTATTTTCGTTGAATAAGAATTAGAAAAGCATACACCCAAACCCAATATAATTGACACATATTAGTGTAATTCTTGAAATCTGTTTTAGCTTTAAGTAGCTTGTTTTTAAAATAAAGTTGAATTTATGTGTTTCTACTCACTTTGCTGTGGCATAATTGTTATACCACATCCCACATGCTCATTGTCACTTGATGAGCATTCTTAATTTGAGGGGATTCATGTTTTTCAAAAGTAAGAACATTTCTTGCAAAATATTAAAATTATGCATATTCCAGAGTTTCTTTTGTATTCTGCCTTGACTTTGACCATTATCGTTTAAAAATGTTTCTAGTCCCAATAACTAGTAAAAATATTTGTATGAATTTTTGTCCATATGCTCTGTTTTTCATTGAAAATATCCTCTGATCCTTCAGACCTGGGTATATTACTCTATCTGATGATCTCCAGTTTTCCCCATTTATTAGTAATAGAAAAATACAAAATTGTACAGTAACATATTTTATAGAATAGTTCCCCCTTGTGATAATTATACAGAAGTTTTATATTTAATTGATACCTTTCAAATTCTACATTTATTTAGGTGGTAAATAAATTTAAAAACAAGACTACTTGCACAGAGTAAGGTAGGACTCTGAAACCTATAAATAGATGACAATTACAATATGTAAATGAAATTTTGTTTAATTTTCCAGCAAATAATTATGAGACAGAATAAGAAGCTATGTAAAACATATTTGCTATAATGTATCTCTTAAGAATTGGAAATCATACTTAAATTTTGGCTAATAAAGTATTGCCATATCTTTTCAAGTTGATCTGTTCAGTTAAAAGTACCAGACCTTTTTTGAAACAATGAAGTATGAATTTTCATGTTTTTGCAGGAGTTGGACTTTTTCACTTCATAAGATTGAAGTAAACTGAATGGTTAACATCTCTTGAAGCTGGGAAGTTCTCTCTTTTGGGGGGGAGGGCTATTGTAATAAAAATGTTGGTTTATATATATACAATTTAAGAATATTTAGGATGTATTCAACATAAGGTTGTTGCAGGCCAGGATTCCAGTGTCTCGAACTTCCACAACACAGGGTAAGTATAGTATCCAAAGTGGTCTGGTTCAGACATTTTGCCTGAAGGTGAGGGCTGGAGTGACTTAAGACATGTCTTTTTTTTGCAGAGGGTTCTTGTACTCTGATAAAATGTGACCTGGCCCAAAGCTGGGGTAGTTATTGAGGAATGTTTTCTTACTCTCTAAAGCAGGGGTACCTTAACAACTTGAAGATTTGTGGTTTTTATGAAGGGATGAATTGG